CTCCCGGACCTAACGGGAGGCGGCCTTTGTTCAGTACACCACCTCAAGATGAAGCAGCAACTGATTCTGAACCCGAGATGTCTGTTACACTGCCATCTGAACCCGACATGTCTGCCACACTGCCAGTTGACGAAACTGTTTTGTCAGATGAATCTGACTCTCCTGCAAATGTTTCACCTCAACCGAGAAGACCTGGCCCTATTGTTGATTCAGAAAATCACATGAACACAAAACTGAAACATGAACTTTACAGACTGCCCAAACGTCTCAAGTGTCATGTATGCGCACGGTCCGGTAAAAGGAAGGACACGAACATAGGATGCAGGACCTGCAACGTTGCACTCTGTGTTATTCCCTGCTACACCAATTACCACCGGAAAAGGGTGTATTGGGTGGTGAAGAAGTAACCACCCGCAACAGCTTCACTCCACCTACAAACCATCTGTTGAGCAACTTCAGGAATGAAGAACCTGAAGAAGGTGGAGTGAAGAACAAATGCTCAACTTACTGTTCCACAACCAGCCTTCCCTTGGTAAGTACACCTATTTGGTCCAAGTTTGTGTAGTATAATTTAGCTCATAGAACATTCTATTGTGAACACATTGCCACAAAAATGAATGACATACATACAATAATAATATCAGGACAGTGAAATAAGTATAAACTTTCAAAGCAACGTTTCGCGCATGTGTCGTCCAGTCACCGTTACCGGGTAACAGTGCGCCCACTTCCCACACTCTTGCGGGTGGGCCGCGACCATTATTCTACGATTATATTCATATCACCGTGTTGGGAATTTCATTGGGAGTCCATTGATACCAAAATTAAGGCTGTAGGACAATTGTAGAGGTGATAATAATCCCAAGAGTAAAAACATTTTGTTGCTGTTGGGCGCTCACGGCGACTCATCTTTGTAGTTATTTTTTTCGTGCTGGTATCTCTATAGCCTTCGTGACTTTTTTTACTGATGTTCTTCTAGAGAATTTTATTGCGAACACGTTGGTACCAAAATGAAATACGTAGCATGAGAACTAAGGTCAGAAGAGTAAAAAGAGTATACACATTTTTGTTTTTACGCTTAAGCGATAAAAACGCAGCGCGCACATATGGTTGTTTCCCTGACCTTCGCCGGGAGCGCGAAAGTGTTAACATATCTCCCCGTGCCTTGGGCTGCATATCACAGCCTTTATGAACGTTAATCATGTTTTATCAACCACGAGTCCCACCATTGGTCACATGTCCTACATACTGTATGCCACATTTGCTGCCTTAGTCAAAGCTTTCTTCTGATTTTGAGATTCAAGCTCGGCTCTTCTCTTCTCACAGTACATCTTCACCTTCACTAGGATGTTTCTTCAGAAGCTTCACTGCATGAATTATTATGTAGATGACCCAAGGCACTCTCCCTTACCTGCACCACCTGCTTCATCTGGGCCAGGTGGCACACCTTCCTCCTACTTCATCTGGGCCAGGTGGCACACCTTCCTCCTGCCTCATCTTGGCCAGGTGGCACACCTTCCTCCTGCATCATCTGGGCCAGGTGGCACACCTTCCTCCTACTTCATCTGGGCCAGGTGGCACACCTTCCTCCTGCCTCATCTTGGCCAGGTGTCACACCTTCCTCCTGCATCATCTAGGCCAGGTGGCACACCTTCCTCCTGCCTCATCTTGGCCAGGTGGCACACCTTCCTCCTACTTCATCTGGGCCAGGTGGCACACCTTCCTCCCAGAAGCCATCTTTGGACTTCACTTTGCAGCAAAGATGAGTGTTTCTCCCAGTTGGTTTAGTGTTTGAGAGTAAAAATGTACACGAGGAAGAAACTAAGTGCAAGTAATCAGAAATAAGGCTTGTAGTTAATACCGTACAAAACAATCCTTTCTGAGCATCATATATGACTGCTCTCATTCCTTCCTATTTTCCAGTTCCATCCCGCATCTGCATAGCTCCTCGACGATGTCTTGTTGTACTCACCTAGTTGTGCTTGCAGGGGGTTGAGATTTAGCTCTTTGGTCCCACCTCTCAACCGTCAAACTTTGTATGTGGTAGGGTGCGGGTCAGTGGACGTGGTAGTGAACATGGTGCTGGTATTTAGTGAGGCCGGCGAGGTTGACAAAGCAGATTAGCAAGTAGTTGGAGACAGCCCTAATTTGATCAGCACAGCTTCAATGCAAGGGGCTATTATTTGCCATGGACTGGCCTTTAATTGTCAAATTGCAAACTAGAGTGATTACCTTCTCCAGTGACTTGCCCTTTTTAATGTAATGCTACATGAATGCTTGATAGTTGTTGTGGTTCAGTGCTTTATGTCATCTGTGCCTAACTGCACAATTTCAAGCCCAAAGATACAGTAAAAGCCTTGCACAAGGAAGCAACCAAAAGATACAGTTTACAAAAGATGCTCCGTAAGGCAAAGATGCCTTATTTATAATTTAAACCAAACTTTAACAAATCAAACACTTGAGTACAAGATGTATTACCCCTCAAACATTCCTCTAAACTAACGAGCACTAAGCTACATTTTAGATATTGTATATTAAATACAATTATCCAATAAACAATGAGAATTTAGCCAGTCTACATAAAATTAAATCCAAGATTACAATACCTACACAACCATACTATAAATCTGACAAAATCCGTAGGAGCCGTGAGAAGGATTCGAGCCTATGCTCCGAGTACTCCGAAGGAAACGCCTTAGTCCACCACAAGGTCAAAAGAATTGCAACGTGGGGATTCAACTGAATCCTTTAGGGTTCCTGAAGCTTTCACTTAAGTCTAATCAGGATTTCACACAATTTCCCCACATGCACTCTGGCCTATAGTCTAGGAATTCTGCTCTCAACACTTCTCAAATGCACAAAGAAATCACATTAACGTGATGTATCAACGAGAAAATCAGTAAGAGCAGCGAGGAGAATCATCCTCACGGTTCCTACCGACTTTCTCATTGATACGTTACGTTAGTGTGATTATGTTTTGTGCATAAATATCTTTTATAGAACTGTCGACAGGCATCCAATATTACTCGACAGGAAGAAATACTGAAGGTGCCATTCATACATTATGCCAGGGTGGGCTTGCCACATAATGCAATAATGATGAAAACACAGAGATCACACTAACGTTATGCATCAAATGAACAAATCCACAAGTATTTGTGGATTTGAAATGAACAAATCTTGTGGATTTGTTCATTTGATGCATCACGTTAGTGTGATCTCTGTGTGTGATGATGTAAGGGCGAAGAGGAAGAACGGCCTATTGACATAGCTCGGGTGCAGGGGGGGGGGGGGTTGTGTAAAAGCCTGGTTTGTGCCTTGGAGAGGCTACTGGATCCAGTAAGTTCAGTAGAACTTCGGTTTCAACCCTTTTAACCCTGTCGTAGCTCAGTCGATTAAGGCAGTGTCTGGGATGCTCCCGGACGCAGGTTCGAATCCTCGTCACGGCCCTTGTGGATTTGTTCATGATGAAAACATTCTATAATATAGTGCCTGACATGCACAAAAATCTACATGTTGCCCTGGCATATAGATTAGTACTGTATACATTAGTCAAAATACTGTACATTCTTTTCCTGTAAGATCTTTGTCAAATGTGATACAGGCCCTTATAAATTATCTTGACCCTTTTGCTACAAAGGCTGAGACTTGCCCAACCCAAAATATTTCTTCAGAGCAGGAAGCAACATTTTGTCCACTCTGATAGAACATCATTTCTGGACAGTACAGTAATAATACTTGTATTACGACCTCGAAAATGTTAAATCAATAACCTTGAAGAGCTGCTAACTGGGCAAGGTAACCCCTAACACTACTCCTCTCGTGCCACTACCAACCCTTACTCAGAAACCACTCCATCGCTCATCCTTTCATCTGTCTGAAAGTAAGTACGTATAGCAACTCTTTGCTCGAAAGTACCAATACTTGTGTAGTGATGGACCACCAGATAGTTAACTGTTATATTATTGAATTTGCATAAACTGGAAACTTTTTTAACCGCAACATAAATTTAAGATTGGCTCAAATATCTCCTAATCTCTTCTAGCAAGCCTAAACCTAATACAAATTATCTTAGGCCTAATATAGTACAAATAGATATTATTCTAGACCTAGGAATATTTAAGTTTCCAGCTGTATATTTTCTGGAATTAATCGTACAAAAAGTGGTTTACTGGTGGTCCACCACTACATATTACTACTTTTGACCAAATAGTTACTGTAATTACTATCATGCCAGGAGAATGGCTTGTCAAAAACACCCAACTTAAGGTGTCTTGAGCATCACACCATACCATTTACACCTCTGACAACAAATTGGCCATAAACGTGTCAATTTGCAAGCTTAATAGCATTTTGTTGCTGAATCTTTTCTTAATGTGCTTTTCCTTTCCCATTCTGGATTCGTTTTCTAACAAATCACAGGATATTAAAGTCAATCTGCTACTCAATTTGAAGTCCATCCTCCTGTTTGGATAGTACTTATGGACACGACGTGTACCATCGTACATATATTGACTTAAAAAGGACAATTACAAAGGAGAATTAGGTACTATTGCATTTGGACAAATTGGAAAAGGTTTTGCATTTATACTGATAATAAGACCTAACCATCCTAGGCCTAATATACACTGAGGCCTAATGTACCACATATGTGCTGTACTAGGCCTAGGAATGTTTAAGTTTGGTTTTTAGATTATTTTTTTCAGATTATGAAGTGAATAGTACCAAATTCTACTGTTTAATTAGTCCATTACATCAGAATATGCATAATGGCCCAGTTACCAAAAGTACTATTTAAACAGGACGAGTTGTTATTTTGTTACAAATGTTGTAAAAGAAATTGTGCAGAATGCCAAGAGCATTGTACTAACAGACTGGTCCCTCTGCAGGCAGAGTTGTAGGACCAGGGTAGAAGTGGGAAGAGTCACAATTCAGCAGCACGGTAGAGGCTTCAGCAGGTAGTGGCGGCACCCCAACTCCTGAGAGGGAGAGTGTATCACCTGAGCACGACGACGACAACGACGACGACGACGACGACAACGACTCGACGGCTGTAGTCTTGCGGAGGGGCATGAGGCTAATGCTAGATGTGATGTGATCATGTTGACCCTTTTGCAACTGAAGCTGCAGTTGCTCACAGCTTCGCGATAACTGTTCTATCTCTTTCAGCAATGTTTGCTTCTCCTTCACACCATCATCAGTCTGTTCAAAAGCAAGTGGAATATAAACATACTGCATAAAATGTATCCATGTTGTTCTTTAATTAAGGGATGAGAATTCATGAACAGGTACTCATGTTAATGGATGAAATTTACTTCACATCATAATTTCTACATATACAAAACAAATTTAAATCTTTTATCTTGATTTCTAATATTGATTTTTTTAAACAAGGGGGATGCTTTATCTTACATTGTTTGCTCTGTTGAATCTTCATTCTTTCACCAGTGGACAAGGTTAAAAAATAGGCAAGATCCAACAGAGTAAAACTACATCTGTGTTTCAAAGTCGTCACTTAAAATGGTCACTATTTTTCGTACAGGCATGTCTAATTCTGATAGTCTTTACTCATATCAAGAACAAGTGGTTCTTATGTTTCAGAAGTATGAGACAAAGCAGCAGGTATCTATGATATTTCCTTTCTTCTAAGTCTGGTATGTGTGGGGATACATTGTAAAATGGAACTTATTCAAGAAATTGACATGGGATCACTGGATTGTTTCAAGAAGTTACACATACATACATACATACATACATACATACATACATACATACATACATACATTACATACATGAGTTTGGTTGGATATAAATAGAAGTAATCTTGCATGAACAAAGAGGCCTTCTGTAGTTTCCTCTAATTTTATGTATACTGTATATTCTAGTTATTATGCAATGTAAACCAATTTTGTCAAGCTTAACATATAAGGCTCTGACAGTTTGACTTAATGGGTTAATTAAAAATGGGAAATCGATAGTTTTCATAGTGATGAAGTACCATACCATTGATTACTGATGGGTAGACAATCTTTGTGGAAAGGGAAAGTGTATGTTGAGTTAGAATTATCCCCCCCAGTAATTGGAGGGTGGGTAATTCTGGGTTGAAACAAGACATCAATGTATGAAAAATGTGTTTTAATTCACACCACAGCGAAGGTGGTGTGAATTTAGAAGGGAGAGGGGAAGTGGGTGTTGTGAGAGCATGGGTAGGTATGAGAGGAGTGGGCAGGCAGTGAAGGTAGGGAATAAGGAGGCTGTGGGAAGGATGGGTTGGGGGGGGGGATTGATCAGTCCAGCAACCAGGAGGCCTGGTCGACGACCGGGCCGCGGGGACGCTAAGCCCCGGAAGCACCTCAAGGTAAGGTAAGGGGATCAGACTGAATGATGGGGTTGTGGGTGTTGAGCATGTGATAAAAGTAACTGATAATGTCTAAGTAATTAAACAGTAGGCCTAATAATGGGAAGGCGAATCAATGATGACATGTTATATGATCACTTGGTTCAAAGATCACTGTGCAAGAAACTAAAAGTACATATGCACATGTCTATCAGACTATCTTCAAGTACAATACCTACCAACTCCAATTTTCACATTTTATCCAAGAAACATACTTACATTCCTCGTATAATAAAGAACAAAGCAAACTTTACAATCAAAGTGCTGCCTAACACACACAGTAAACAACAAGTGCAGCAAAGGAGCTCCAGGATAATTTAAATGCCTAAGTATTGTTAAACAGGTTGAAGGCGAGTGGAGCACCACAGGGTTCAGGTCTTGCACCGGATATTTGTATTGTCTACATAAACAACCTACCAGATGGAATACAGAATAATATGAACATGTTTGCCGAGATGCTAAGATACTTGGGAAGATAAACTTGGACCGTTGTCACGCCCTTCGAGAAGACCTGGACAAAAGTGTATGGAGCATCACTTGGCAAATGGAATTTAAGAAGAATAAATGCCATGTTATGGTTCACGTATGTGGAAAATGAGAAAACAGATGACACCCAACCTACAAATTATGCGAAAAAGCTTTAAAAAATTATAATAAAGGAAGATATCTAAGGGTGGTTCTAGAAAGAAAATTGTCACCCGAGACCCACATAAAGGACATTGCGCGAGAAGCCTATGCTGCACTTTACCATTTCAGAATTTCTTTTAAATACATGGATGGTGAAATAGAAATTGTTCACAGCCTTTGTAAAACCAAAGTTGGAATATGTCGCATCTGTATGGTGCCCATATCTTAAGAAGCACATCAACAAACTAAAAAAGGTGCAAAGACATGCAACTAAATGGCTTCCAGAACTGAAAGACAAGAGCTACAAGGAGAGCTAAAGGCATTAAATATGCCAAAGCTAAAAGATGGAAAAAAAGAGGCGATATGGTCACTACGTAGAAAACAGTAATGGGAATCAAGAAAATGCATACAGTAATGAAGAATTCTTGAGACCTAGTATTTCAAGAACTAGAGGCCATATATTTAAGCTAACAAAACAAAGCTTCTGGAAAAACATTAGAAAGTTCACTTTTGCAAGCAGAATGGTAGATGGTTGGAACAAGTTAAGTGAGAAGGTGGTGGAGGCTAGAACCGTCAGTAGCTTCACAACAACAAAAAATGACGGTGCTGGGAAGACGAGACATCACGACTGTAGCTCTCATCTTGTAACTAAACTTAGGTAATTACAATGACACTTGTATTACATATACAGTACAAAGGTGTTATATACTCCACAACATGAATGTGCACCATTCCTGTGCCAGGTAAGTCCACTACGGGCTCACCACAGCCCGTGCTACTTGGAACTTGTTCCGAGTAGCTGAATCTATAACAACATCCACAACATTTGGCCAGCTGTCATGTTCCACCATTAACACTTTCGATGCCTGATCATGCACAGTTTGTCATATAACCAAAATACGCCAAGTGTGTGTGTGATGACGCATCAAGACGTCATTAACCCTAAACTGCGCAAAACATCATATGAAGTGTGACATTGAACGCAGTTTTTTAAATTTTCTGAAACTCTTTCAAATGTTTTGTGCATAATCTACAAGGCAAATCCTCCAACATTGTCTAAATGATACCAGTGTAACATGAAAAACAAGAAATAACAAATAATTATCAAATTGAACATTGAAAACTTCAGATTTTGAAATTGGCTGCAAAAAATTTATAACATCACCAATTGTTCATTTGGTGTTATTATGCTCTTCGAATAACATATGATCTTCATTTTCATATAATTGGAATATAGGTTTTCAGTATAGTTTACTGTAAAAAAAAAAGTGTCACTATGGCATTTGAAATGTGCAAATTTAGAGAACAAAAATTTATAACTCCAAACATTTAAGAGTTTATGAAAAATCAATTCTATAGGGATTGTAGAACGAACAGCTGTGCACACTACTGTATATGTAAAAATGGTGAGAATCGGTCAGAAACTTAGATTTTTGGATACTAAAGTTGAAACTCTAGTTAAAGATATACAATGAATAAGGCAGTTCTACTTCATGAATTTACTTGTATGTTTTAATAAACATTGTTTGGTATTCATACTCGAATATGTGAAAGTTGTGGGTCAATACGTGATGAAATGAAGTCAAGAAAAAATAACCCCTAAAAAACAAAATGTAGGGATAATTATAATGATTTAGGGGATATATTTAGGGGTATACTTTATATGAGTAAAACGGCCCTAATCTAGTCCCTAATCATCAAAACAACCTAAAGAAACGAGGAAAATAGAGTTTGAAATCTGTGAAAAAATTAGCAAAAATATAAATTCAAAGTCCCAAGTTCTGAGAGTTGACCGATTTATTTGTAGACCAATTTAATTCTGTCTTCACATAGTTAGGGATGGGTACGCACTCCCCAAGATGTAAAGGTTACAACAAATTTAAATAATAAACAATGAAAAAAAAAAAATCCCCGAAAAAACAAAATTTGGGACATTGTTGAATGTAACTGGTAATAACATTGGGCAATGTATTTATATGATATATAATAAAATACAGCATAATAACATACTGCATAATAACATACACACCGTACGTCAGGCTGCGAGCAGCCGCGTCCAACAGCCTGGTTGATCAGTCCGGCAACCAGGAGGCCTGGTCGACGACCGGGCCGCGGGGACGCTAAGCCCCGGAAGCACCTCAAGGTAACCTCAAGGTAAGGTACTCATTCTTATTTGTGTTATTATGTATTACTCAGCAATGCTACAAAGGCACCAGCGACATATTAACTTTGTGGGCACTTCTTGCTACTATTCCTCTTCTTCGTGCGTCACACAGGTGCCGGCATCTCTCTATTACTGCATTATCCACCAGTTCCAGTTAATAGCAACTGTTCTCCTAATCAACAAATTGTTCTCTTTTTTTAAATATTTGTCTAAAATAAATTTCTGAAAATATTTTCATGTAAGTTTCACGACACAGAAGCAAACAAGTTGGAGATTTGTTTAACATTTTTAAGTAATTTTTACGTAATTCAAATATTTTTTCACAATTATGCCCCCATATGCTGAGCAGTTTAACCACTGTGCTGCTCGACTATCAAATACGGCACCCTCCCCCCCCCCCTGTGCGCAAGAAATAAATTATCTGGATTTTTTTTTTTTTGGGGGGGGGTGTTAAAACCCTTCCCCGAGTATGGATATGTGAACAAAAACTCAAAATTGAACTTACTTTGGCCGCAATGGGGTCCGTAAGTTTGCACGTGATGTCATCATTCCCTGGTCGCCTGTGGCGTACGCTCCCGGGGCCAGTAGCACGCTCGGTTCAAGATGCGTGAGTTGCCACGAATATATTTCTGTTCATCTTTTGCACACAGTTCCAAATATATATTTTTTTGTTTTTTCGTGCCAATCCTATGTATAATGAATACGGCACTATATTATGGCAGTAGAACATCCGTACTCTTCGAAGACACTGTGTTACGTGCATCACACATGTGTACACATATCTTGCACATATTTCCAATGTATCATGCTAATTTATGTACATATATATACAATCTATTTACACACCGTACAGTATCACGCACTATATACACACATACCATAAACACATTCAGAACGCCACGTGTGTGAGATATGCTGCGAAACAGCCAACGGGGCATGGTGGAACCTTGCACTCCATACTCTAGGTGCCGATGCATCTTCGCTTTTGTTCTCTTCGGGTAGTGTTCTTGAATA